TTTTTTTTTTTTTTTTCTGATCGTTTTCTACAACAGGAGAGGAACCAAGGCGTCAAGACTTTGTCAGGAGTTCATTCGGATATCAATAACCTGATTTGCACGAGTTTTTCAGGTAAGAATTGTTTTTCGTGTATCAACTATACTTGCACAAATAATTCAGTTGATCGATTACAAAATAAAAGTTGAAGTAACGGGACAAAATGGCAGGGACAAAATATTTTGTTTTCGGCTCTAGTATGATAAGAAAGTCAAAGGATTTCATTTTGACGTGTAATGGGTGAAATTCTTCTCGCCTTGCGTTCGGTTTCTGGATGTGAAGAATGGATCCCTCTAAACTTTAGCTTGTCCGGTCATCCTTATCTCTTCTCATCGCGCCAGTCCGGTACTGACTAAAGATGTTAGGTACACTCAATGAGTTGAACCCAAAAGCTATCAAAGCTGCTCTACATCACAATGGATACAAGCTGTCTTCTGAATTATTTTACAGATTAAAAAAATGCCCTTTTCGAGCTGGAACCAAAACTGAAGTTCCTGCTGCTAAGGACAACGGTGAGTTGATTTTTTCTTGTTTCAGTCTTTTTCACAGGCAAAGATCGTGTCTGATTTGACTTATTATTTGATGTCACCTGTTCAGACCAAATCATAAACATGCTTAGAAGCTTTGTGCCAAGATTGCACTCCAAGTTTATTTGAGTTATTACGATCGCATAGTTTAGAACTTGTTTTCAGTCTTCTAAACTGATGGAACCAAACATGCTTCAGACGAAATCCGATAGAAAATTGAGCAATTTAATTTATTAGTGGACAAAACCTTGTACCAGAATATAACTTTACGTACATTAGTCCTTTTTGCCTCTTCTAAAAGCTAAAGACATAAATAGTTGCCCGAAATAATACCAAAAACAATTTCCCACGGGAACTCGAGAAAATAAATTTCAAAGTCCAGAGAAATTGTGAATTCCCAGGTAAAATTTCACACCAGTTTCATTTCACCGGTACTTTCACTGTTTCATATGAACTTCAAAATTTGTTTTCACATTTGGTGCCGTCAGAAAAATTTTTTTTTTGAGAAGACATTATAAACAGTCGCACAGAAGCCAATGCGAGACAATGTAAACAACCTCGGAGCAAAGTTTTTGATGCCTTGATGACACGATTTTCTTCTCTAAAATGAATTTCATCGCCGGCTCGATCACGTTTTTACGACAACACGCAAAAAAATCTAGTTATTTTCAAACGCTTTCTTGATGCTAAAAATAGCCAAGACCTTAGCATGTTGCCACTGTTAACACTCTCCTGGTAATTTTCTTATTATCTCTTACAATTAGAGACCATTTTATCTAAATTTGAGATCATTCTTGGAAGCAAAACTTTTTTGCATATTTTAATGACGCATACCTCCCCCTTTCAATTTATGTGACCTTGAATAAACTTCAGAGGGCTCTGCTCGCTATGGCCGCCATGTTGCTTTTTCACATTATAATGCAAATTAGCCTTGCTATATACAGAGTGTTTCCAGTCACGTGGCCAGTAGCAATGCAGATTTATTGGAACAAAAGAAAGTGTTTAAATAAGAAAAGAGTTAACTCCCAAAGGATTGGTTTGGTACGCAAACATGGCCGCCGTTTCATTGTTTTGGAATACCAATATGGCTGCCATGACGTCATGTGAAAACGCTCTGTTGTGAAAACAGTGATGTCTTAAAAGTGTCTTCTTCAAAATCATAGATGAGAGTTACAATGTCTAAAATTCAGTTAAATATTCGCCAGAAAACTCAAGCCGAAAGTTTGGGTGACCTCAGAAATCAGGCGGTTTATTTGCATCACTTAATATACGAAAACCAAAATGCCACCAATTCAATAACTCAAACTCTTTATTCTTTCATATGAAAATGAGTTTGATTTGCATGAAAATGAACCTGTATACGGAACACATTTTCACATGAATGATTTCGCACGAAGACGCATTTACGCAGAGGCAAAAGGCAACGCGGTAATGACCTATTAACATGGAAAAGTGTTATTGTTATTTCTCCATCCGCGAATGATCGCTCAAGTTTTTGAAATATTATTCACGTTCCAATGCTGAAAATCTCGTACAACTATTCTTCTCAGCTGACCCCTAAAATTAAGTTACGATTCTTGTTTTATACTGCAAACCACTGCATAAATTGATTGATTGTTTACATGAAGTTTCGTTATTTTTCCTCAGCCTTTCCCAGCTCCGGATTTCAGTGGACAATTCAAGCAAGCCGACAAGAAGTGAAAATGCTGGATTACATTTTTCAAGATCTTTCTGTAGCTCATTAGGTTAATAACATTAGTGTCATACGAGCTGCTAAGTAAGTAATCAAAAGCTACTTTCTCGTCACAACATCAATGCAGTGCTAGGCGTCTAGAACAGGAGAATGACTGAACTGATCAGCAGAGAGAAATTGTCAGGATATACAAAAAAATTCTAACAAACTAGTATTAAGAAATAGTGAAGTCTGTCAGAGAAATTAAATTTGCTTGTATTACGACCCGTGCAATATTCAAAGAAACCTTATTTTTTTTCTTCTTGACAACCGCATAACCAATTCAGATTTCGATAATTTTATGTCACAATTTCCCAATTGTTCGAAAATTTTCATTTGATTTCGGTCAAATTCTAGACCACGTTCACCGTAATTTTTTTTTAAAAAGTCCTTGTTCACCTTAAAATTTACATAAAAAAAGCTACTCGCTTGAATTCCCAACAGGCATGGAACAAAATTAAATATTCAGTATTTGGTTGCCAAAATGAAGCGCGTGTGTGGCTGGATTGTCTTAAAAGTTCAATCGTACACAATTTTTGACTAATTTTTATTTAATTATTCTAATTTGCAGTTTTTACAAGATTGTTCCAACTTTTGCGAAATACAGTTAGCACTGCAGATTGATTTCATGAACCACGACCAGGAACCTGTTGAAACAAAATTTATCGGCCGAGTCAATATTTGGTGGTCAAAATTAAGCAAGAGGCTACTGAATTGTCTAGAGACCAACACACTCAGAGTCATAAACATGTGTTAACCAATTTTGGTTTAATTTTTCCATCTCGCAATTTAACAAGATTGCTCCAAATGGGCCAAATGTTCTCACCAAGTGTGACAAAAGTCTACATAAAATATAGTGCAAGCTATGGGTATTGATTTCACAGGGCGCTGAATTGTCTTGAAACTATTTTACGCAGTCGTAAACAAATTTGAAACATTTTTGTGTTAATTCGTCGCATGTATTCAAAAGTAGTTTAATTTTTTTGAAGAAGACATTTTTACATGGTTTCCTTCAGTATTGCACGGGTCCGAGTTTGAAGAAATGTGAATTCGATCTTTGAGCGAAGGCTTTTCGTACTTGTAATTCGATTATTTTGTTTGCCGAAAACTTACAAATTAGCAAAAACCTCATTTCTTAGCTCGACTACTTTGCCTTCAACTTATCGTTGAAGCCATACAACCACTAGTTCATTTTTCAATGATTCTCAGAAATAGCAAGCAAGGTTTCTTATTCGGACTTATAATTTGATAATTTTGTTTGCAAAAACTTGACTATTAATCAGAAATTATTTCTCAGGCCAAGCCTGACTGTTTTGCGTACTATTTATCGCTCAGTGACTAAAGAACCTAAACACTTAGATTATTTTTCAGACTTTGCCAGTCTTACTATTCATATTTTAAATAGTAAATTTTCGCTTTTGTGATTTAATACTGTTTATTTCTTAGAAATAAAGTTAATTAACACATACAGCATTTGTAGTACAATAGTTGTCTTTAATAGTTGAAATAAACAAAGACTTACAATCAATAAATGCGTCTTGCTTTATTTACAAGAGAAAGGAACAAAAAAAATCTGCGCTTTTGAAAGGGGCCTGGAAACTAGTCGGAATGTAGGCTATCTCTTTTACTATTTTTTGACTATGTAAGGTTGCCGACGCCGGGAAAAATTTCTGCAAAATTGAATGGGGTCTAGTATAAAATCGCAATAAACACCAACTTTTGATGGGAGAAATCTGCTGCTACCGCAGAGACTTTTCCCGCCAAAAGACTTTGTTTATTTTTGACTCAATACTAGACTCCATCCAAAATCGCAGCCTTTTTTCCCGCCAAAAGACTTAGTTTTTTTTCGCTAGAAAGACTCCTTACAAAGCTCGAAAAGTTTCTTTCAAAAACGCAGTTATTCTTCCCGCCAAAAGACTTAGTTTTTTTCTTTCGCTCGAAAGGCCACTTGCAAAAGTGCAGTTATGATTTTCGCCAAAATGTTGCTCAAACTTTAACTTTATTCATTCAACATCTTGCACGGATGGAACTTCATTCGCCGAAGTTTGTTTGCTTGACTGTAGAGCTCCTTTGTTGCTTCCTAGCACGATTAATGTCTTTCGTCCTGCAATGTAAATAAAAAACAACGTAATAATCATCGGCATTGTTCGTAAATTCAGCGATGGAAAATAAATCTTACACCACGTACGTTAATATCCTTGAATTAACAGCGCAATATATTTATAAATTAGATCAATTTTTTCCCCTCAAAATACGTTACTTTTTGGTGCAAGATTATGTCCAATGCCTACTGTAAAAATGAATTTTTTAGTTTGTAAAGCTGTTTCGGAAGCGAACGCAAATTTGAATATAACAAAATGTGCTATAAAATGCAAATTTCTTATTTTCCAAGAAAAACACAACGGTTTAGAATAATGTACTGTTATCTTCCTTCAGTCGCTGCGTTGGAACGCCTGGGATGAAAAAATTAAATCCATAGATTCAAGCTCAAACATCTTGTCTTTTATTGCACTATTAGCAAGGAAAAGCTTAAGACGCATTCAAATCCCCAATTTTGGGTTCAGAGACTTACGCGAGCCGAAAGAAATCTTGATTTAATGTAAATCGTGTAATCAAAAACATGAATTGCAAAACAACTTTTCTAACCTTTCAAGAGTTGAATAGACCTTTCTTGCTTGGGTGGTTTGTTTTCCCATTAAAGACCACGTGATATTCTTTAGAGAATTGTTCTTTTATCTATCTAAAAATTATTCATTCATATACACGTGACTATTTAAAAATTTGAAAGCAAGAATTCTTTTAAGAATTAAAAGAGTATCATCTAACGGTCTGAAATGGGGCAACAAACCTCCCAAGCTAAAATGGTCTATTCTCCAAAGTCACGCATTGAAAAATGTGCTCTTTCATGATCTGACAACGGACGATAACATTTATTATAAAACGATCTTCTGTTGCACCTGTCAGTTTGTCGAGCTCAAAACTTTTGCAAAATTTACAAGCTAGAAGTATTATAGCCACGTAGGACGTAATCAATCAAAAAATGCGAATCTAGATCTATCACCTGCTTCAACGAAAGTTTGTTTGTGGCAATTCTCGCAATTTTGAAAATAGTCCTTACCCAGCGACTGCTAAACTTTCAGTGGCCCTTCACTCATCCCTGGGCAAAAGTCACCAGAACTGTTTGCTCACGCTGCTTGATATTACTAAGGCAACCATGTCTTGACTAAACGTTTCCCCAAATTTTTCCTGTTCAGGTTGAATTCTTCATCCACATGATAATGTGTTCAAGTTTCCTTCCGTGGCCTTCCAGTTTTTGTTGATTTTAGCATTTCCTTAATTGTTTTGGCATAATTTTGGAACAATTAATGACAAGAAAAATCCAAGATGGTGGTGCAAAATGGCACCATAAAATGCCTTCTATTTTACCTCGTAAAGAAAGTTACAGGCTAGCTTCTAAAGGTATAATAGTTTCAAAATGTCCATAATGTTTTGGCATATTTTTGGAAAAATTTATGACACGAAAAATCTAAGATGGGGTTCTTTAGTTCTAAATGTCACCATAACAAAAAATAATATGCATCCGATTTTATCTTGTAAAGAGAGCTACAGGCTATCTTCAGTATCAGTTTCAAAATGTCCATCTACAAAAATGAAAACCCAAAGAAGAGGTTCCCTCCTTCCGTAGTCACTGTTCTATGTGCCGGTTTGCGTGTACGTCAAGACGATTCAACAACAATTGGACGTTGCGTTACGTCGAGGGTCGTAACGCAACGGATATGAAAACGTCCACACAGAAATCACATGGAAAAAGAACTCGACGCATCGAGACTTTGATTAGAGCCACCTAAAGATGACTTTGCCCATGGCATAAAATAAGGTCCTTTTGGTTAATGATATATGAAATCAGGTGTATGATAACTTGGCGAAACATGGTTAACAATCAATGTGTCGAAAAGTAATTGGTTTTGCATCACTACACCACACGATTGGTTCAAAAAAAAAAAAACTCGCACCATTTTTTCATCCAATCAGAAATAAAACCAACATCAATAGTGACTCAATCGCACGCGTTTTCCCGCGCTTTACGTCAGCTACATGTATTTGCTTCGAGGTTTGATTGGTTCACTGGATTGTCTGTGTCCTCTGTGATTGGCTAGAGTGACTACTTTGGTTTTGATTTTACGACACTCAATTGAAACTTGCTCTAATTCTCCAACTAAAAAGTAATTGAAAGAAAAAGGGTAATCACATACCTTAACAACCAGAGTTATTCACCGATCCGTGCGTCCATAACATCATGGTTTCTTATTGCCTTGAACCGCTCCCAGAGAGAATGCCATCATCGATAACCCTCAAGTATTTCCCTGTTGATGACAATTTTCAAGGTCACTTATTGCATAGTGTATAACATACAACTTCATGTACTACATAGTTTCGTCCGATTATTAAGTTGGTCCGCCTATTGACAGGATTGAGATTGAGAATTATATGTTTATTTGAAGCATTAAATTTATGTTCAGTTTTTTCATAAATTTGATCGTTTTTGAACGCCTTGTATCTTGTTATCAATTCTTGACAGTGTAGCCTCGTTTACTATTGTGCTAAAAAACCTTTTCCTCAAAAACATCTTAATCAGTCAACTGTAGAACTTACTTTATTTCTCACATCGTTATCCTTTAAGAGTTAAGAAAATTTCCTTCATTTCCTTCCTTTGCTTCTCTCAGGCGACCAGCCCCTCACCCCCCCCCCCCCCCCCCCCCCCCCCCCCCCCCCCCCCCCCCCCCCCCCCCCCNGATATAATTCTGTTCTTTGGCTTACTTCAAAATATCTTGGACTTATGTATTAACCCGCAAATCTCCTTACAAGTCCCCATAAGTTATACACTTTGGGAGAATTTAGCCGCATGTATCTTAGTATAGATATTTTGCGCAAAGTTAATACGCTGCAGTACATTCTGATAAGTGCAAGATAATTCTTGTATTTTAATTTTCCATCTTCTGACGTTAATTTTACAGAGATGTCAGGAAAAAAATAGAATACCTATAAATATATGCAAATTACATAGAGAAGATGATAGATAGCATTAATGAAATAATTAACATGTACTCACCATTAAATCAGTACAGTTCAATTTGTAAAGTCAGAGCTTCGTTTTGATGAAACCCGTCTTTCCCTCTGTTTTACAAAACCTAAAATGTTACAAATAAAATAATAATTCAACACTTAGATGGCTTAACATAAAGATAAACTAAGAATTGTAAAGCCTTTTTAGCTAGCGCATTCGTTAGTCCACTGGAGAAATTACCCCTACAAAGGCTAAGGTTCCATGTACCGCAAGTTGAAGAAAGGATAACCCATCTATTTCAGGCTTCTTTAGAGAACGAAGGAAACACAGCAGTCATTTACCTTAACTAAAACCATCCCAGGATTACACAGTAACTCAAAAAAGCAGCTCCAACTCCGCGATGTCTTAAGCAAAACTTTAACACGTGTACCTTGTTTGTCCAAATTTCTCCCGTCTGTGTTGAATGTATCATTGCTTTGGTCCATTCAGCGCCTGGCTGTCGAAGCGTATCGTTCGTCTTGTACTAGTAAATAAGTAATCCAGCAAATCTTTTCACCATTTCTTTGCAGATAATGAAGCAGCATCAAGGAACCGACAAACATGGTGGACAACTGAACCCGCGATGAATAATTAGCAAATATAGAAAGCCCGTATGTTGGGACATTTTTGTAATGTAAATTTTTCCCGCGATCTTCCCGTCAGAAACGTCCACATTTCAAAGCGCAAAGGAGACACCAATGTTTTCAGTTAATGTTATACTTAAATCAAAGAGCAGACACACTCCTCTTCTATGCTGTCAATGCGTCTGATGCAACATTGTAAACCAAATGTTCGTTTGAAAATTTCAAATATTCTTAAACGAAGATTCAGTTGGTAAGTTAAGTTAATTTTTTCTGCCAAGTTAACTTAATTTCCTTTGCTCTTAACAACAGAAAACGTTTTCCGTTTCTCTATCGAGTTCTAGTCAGAGAAACACGATTGGAAGTTAACGAGAATGACCAAAAGAATGCTTGTTTAAGAGCTTTTATGTATTCCAAGTTCACGAGCGTTTCTATTTCAGCAATAGCGGGACTTGTTTTCTTTTTCTTCTCCCAACCTCCTCTAAACACGAGGAGGGTTGGGAGAATTCGAGACAGTTATGCAAACCCGATACGTAGTCGAGGGTTTGTCATAACTGTCGAGAATTCTCCCAACCCCCCGAGTGTTTAGATGAGGCTATGTAAACACGGAAAAAAGTCCTGTATTACTTTTATAACAAATTTCTCCGAAAATAATTTACAACCGTTTTTACATACTCTTATCTCAACACACCTATCGACCAACTAGAGCCCGCGTACTATCTTAAATATTTTTAATTATAAAAAGAAATAATGCTCGCTCAGCTGCAATAGCAGGTATACAGCAGCTATATTCTAAAGTTTTTTGTGCTTACAGGTTTTGTTATCTACGCTATTTTATCTAATAAATGGGAGAGAAGTGCATCTGGCCAACGCAAGTCAAATTACTAGTTAAAAATACGTCACGTCAACCTTCTCCTTCGTCAGCTTGATCCATACGTCATGTGAAGAAAACTGCGTAATTGCAAGCCTGCGAATAAATTAAGCATATGTTGGGCCAAGTGGCGCGTAACGCCGGAGCTTATCGCAGTTTCTGTAGCATGAAGCGACTAGGAGTATTTCTACATGTGCTCCTCCCTAGATGAGATGCTCATCCATTGCAGGGTTACCCCCAGATATAAATTAGCCAGTACCCATTTATACACCTGGGTTGAGAGAGGCACTGTGAGAGTAAAGTGTCTTGCCCAATAACACAACGCAATGTCCGCTCGGTCCAGAGTCCAGCACGCTAACCATGAGGCCAGCGAGCATTTGGACGTCCACTGTCTCCTTTGCTTCAAAGGAAATAAACGTCTGCTCGCATGCCACGGGATTTTTAATTCTAGCATGAGTGACAGCAGTGACTTCTGATTGTTAAACTCCAAGGCAGAAGGTAATGGCTGGACGACCACGACAGGACTATTGTTCTTTTATTTGACAATACATACACATAGAGATTTCGCTTATCATCGAAGATATGTAAAAAGACTATTAAAACGCAATTAAACTACAATTTGTTTAATCTGTACAATGCTTGAAAAGGCCGTAAAACAGACGCGTAAAATAAGCTAAAAAGACAATAAAATTTCAAGTCCTCTCAGGACGAAATGAGAACAAACATCCCTCACATCATGCGTAATGCCAAAAACCCAAAGACAAAATGGCGGCAAAACTCTTTTACTCTCAATACTCCAAGAAATGTGTCACGATGACTTAACGTCGTGTTAACAACAATCAAAACAAAATGACTTATCGCAGGATCCTAGAACTTTACAAGGAGACATGACAGCATTGTTCCCAGAACCACGAGGACCTGCCGGAGTTGGTCTGATTGGCGACAAAGGTTTTGTGTTCTGACGCAGAAATCTTTCCAGTCTCACGCTTTCTAAGTTCGTTTTCTTCATGGGGGTTGACTCTTTTCTGTAGCAACGCAAGGACGAGCTTTGAGGTGGACACAGCTCAAGGTAACTGGAGCAAGACGAGCCTCTCTTTGCGTGTTTCGAAGGTAAAGACTCCAGGGTGTCTATAGCAAGGCTTTCTCTCGCTCTCTTCTTACGCGCAATCGATTTCAAGGGTGAGTTGTCACTTCCAAGACCACGGGGCAAATGACTATTTCTCGAGCTTTCACTAGGACCAAAAGCGTGCTTCTTTGAATTTTTCATGACTCTTTCTTTTGATTGAACGCCTGCTTGATCAGCAGCAGATAACTGTTCCTTGTCAGCACGCGCTCTTAAAAGATTATTAACCGACAGATTCCGCCCACAGTTCAACTTATCAACAGTTTGTTCCTCAGCTGTTTCATTTTTATCATTTAACGAATCACCTTCCTCTTGTGTACCAAACACGTAACCACGATTATCACATGAATTCTTCCGCAAAGCTTTTGATGAAGGAAGAAACTTTCCTCTAGACTGTGCATTGACAAGGTCACTGTAGGTCTTTGAACAGGAAAGCTTTTGATCTCTCCTGTTCTTCAGGGCAGAGAGACTCGATTCCCGCTTCTCTTTGCATTCATCTTCGCCGATTGATTTCTGATACGAAGAAGCAAAGTCAGGAGCAACATTACTTAAAAATAGTGATCGCTTTGAATAATTCACCCTAGCTAGCCCATCTGGAGAGGAAGTGCTTGAAGTGAGCTTTGCCGTGGAGCGACAAGCCTTTGGCAAATTACCGCCTTTTTCAAAGGATGTACCGCGGGCTTCTTTGTGTTTTGCTTTCTTTTCCCCAGAAGGCCACGAGTCGATGGCTGCTGTATCTTTAAAAACTCTTAACACCTGTGATGATCTCCTCCTCTTGGAGTTGGAAGAGCTCGATTGAAGTGCAGGGGATACTGAGCGTGGAACCAGAGGAGTAGTCTGGTGACCTGATGGTGTATCAAGGGCTTTGGAACCGGGTGACATAATTGGTGAGTTTTCTGGGCACCTCTCAAGACATTTTCCTTGCCCATTGCATGGCACAGGTCCTCCCAAGTTGCACAAAGTTGCACTTCTTTGGCAAGCTGATGGTGTGCCAAGGGTTTTGGAACCAGGGCACATAATCAGTGAGTCTTCTGAGCACCTCTCAAGATATTTTCCTTGCCCGTTGCATGTCACAGGTCCTTCCAAGTTGCACACGGTTGCACTTCTTTGGTGACCTAACGGTGCGCCAAGGGCTTTGGAACTAGGGGACATGATCGATGAGTTTGCTGAGCGCCTCTCAAGATATGAACCTTTCCCATTGCATTTCATAGGTCCACCAATCTTGCACAAAATTGCACTTCTTCTCTTACTGGGTGAAGAGTTTACCCTTGGCATGTCAAAGTTACCATTTTCGAGTTTGACAGAGCGTGGGGAAGACTTTGCTGCGAGATCAAGAGAAGACGAAGCTATTTTCAGTGACCGACGTCTTACGAAATGATGTTGCTTGTCTGCAATGAAGCACAATGGGTGACGAGTCTTCAAATCAAGAACCTGACTTTCCTGGCTAGCCAACGCATTGTTAGGTCCCCTAATCACGGAAGCCTTGGTCTGTTCCTTGCCCATCAGGTCACACTTCTCCGTCTTTCCTATGCCTGTCTCTCGTAAACGACAGTAGGATTCTAAACTTCTTGGGTAAGTTGAACTAGATTCATCACCACTGGACGTCACCTCAGACTCTCCATCAGTGTGGCATGTAGAATCATCAGAGACAACCGAAGGCTGTTTGCCTTCAACAATTTCAGCCAAGGCAAGAGCAATCTTGTTTCGGGAACACAAGACAGCTTGGACAAGATCTAACTTGCCACTGGTCTCAACACTGTTCACAGGATCTTCTTTAGAGAGAGTAGTCTTTGCTGACTGTTTCACCCCTGATGAAGTGAGCGGATGCACAACAGACACTGGTTTCTTGTAAATATGAGACAATTCTGGATGACTCGTGGACGACCAGGCTTTAGACTTGTCGATAACGAACGTTGTATTGCAGATACCTATCTTGGAATCACAACGTTTCGATTGTGAGGAATTAATACTTTGTTCTTGAAATTTCTTTGTTAGCACTTCATTATCTGATATAGGGGCTTCTGTTTCTGAATCACTCACCTCCAGGTCTTCACTCCAGTGTTTATGCTCACTCAATAAGTAAGTGTCATTTTTCAAGGAGCCTGAATTGAAACCTTCTCCTTTCCCAGTTACAAAGCACCCACCTGGCAGGTCCTCCAGGTACCTTGAGATGGGCCCACTTGCATCAGAATCCTGCTCGTCATCATCGTCACCATCCTCATTGTCGTTGTCACCATCATCACTGTTCTTTTCACCATCATCTTCAATATTGACAGCATCAGTATCACTGCTGCTGGAATCATCTGTTAAAGAAAGATACAAATAAATAGTAAAACACTTCCAATGTGGTCAAGTTGCTTCATGCCAAGGGACCTATACTGCTAGCACTTATCCTGGGTAGGTTAACTCCCTGCAATAAATTCACCAATACCCATTTACACACCTGAGTTCAGACAGGCACTGTGAGAGAGCATCCATTACTTCATAATTGAGTTTATTGTACAGTGGAATCCTGATTTCTCAAACCCTCACTTTTTCGAACCTCCCAATAACTCGAACCAAAAGTCGTTTCCCTCTCCTCAGTCAAACACTGTAATTTTACCCTCGATTTCTCAAACTATCAAATTTTTCGAACCAATTTTTGTTTCCCTTGGAGGTTCGAAAAATCAGAATTCTACTGTATATGCTAAGCATGGATCAAGAGTTTTGAGAACACCACTCATTAGACATACCAGTACTAGGTAATACACCTTAGCCAAGACATAATTATAATGAAAACACTTTTCACCCATTGATAACTGCTGTAGCCTGTTACAACATCACTATAATTTTTGAAACAATTTTTTTGTGTTACAGTAAAATAAAAAACACATTCTGAGATTCAATCTTTCCATTATGGGGGGTGCTTTCACTTTACGAATCAAAATTTTGACCATTGTAAAACAAGCAAAACAAGTTAAGCCTGTCAACAACATGATTATGTGAATGAAGTGCCTATCACGTTTCGAAAAAATGACTTCAAAATTTCAAGAAGCTAGATGCTCTAAGAGCAATCCGCAATATCAAATTGCATGTTACAGTAAGCTTAATGAAGACAAAAAAAGGCAAATAAAAGAATCAGAATATCTTAACACAAGAGTACCCCTTAGATATTTACTATTCAGGTTGATGACCCCACATTTGGCAACCAAATGCTATGATAAAGAAGAAGAACAGCTTGCATTTTATGGAAGCCCGAGTAATAATTTTAATTTTCTACTGAGCTCCATTACCTTCATCACAAAACTCACTCAAGTAAATCTCATTTGTATCTCCTTCTAGTGGCTCTGTGTACTGAGAACAGAGACAAAAAGATGATCAATACAAAAATAGTCAATGAGTGGTTCCAGAAAACCACAACAAATACAACATATCTACTGTCCACATACTGTAACATGAGTCTAGCCTGACATGAAACTTTATACAGCAAAAAAAATAAATTGTGCTACTTGTTCGTGTCTTTCAAATAGTTGCGTTGATACTGAAATGGATGCACACAATATTTATTCTTATTATATAGGTACATGTATGAGTGTTTTACGTTAAAATACACCACCCGTATACTTCATAGGAATTTACACCCAGGGCCGTAGTGGCATATTTTCCATATCCTCGCTAGTAAGTATATATATGATGTCATTTCATGCTACTGCATTGCAAACCTGCCAAACTTTGCCAAATGCAAAGTTTGTTGAAAGATGGCGAGTGATAAGGAAGTTAAATTCACTAAAGTCGACATAAAATTGTTCACTAAGGAACATGAAAATGCCAAAAATGCCAAAATAAAGAAAGAAAGTCCACATGACTTAAAACTATACAAGCATTTTCTTCAAAGAAAACAAAAGGAGAGATATTCAGGATATTCAATTCTAGCCACAGAACTACAGTTTGCTTTTGATTCACTTCGGTAGATTTTGTCCATATAACAAAAAGAACATTACATGTTGGCTCAAAGATATGACTTTTATGTCCTTGTGGCACAAACAACATCTCACTCATTCACTACGCTCACTCATGAGATATCGTTTTTGCCACTCAAACATAAAATTCATACTGTACCTCCTTGCCACCATTTAATATACACTAGACTGTTCAAAGTCATACATAACATTAAAACACCAGAGGTTAAATGTTCATTTGATAACTTCATTTTCTGCCATTGTACTGGGAAGATGCAATAACATTGTGATGAATCTTATGAATATACTTATGCAAGTAAGGGTATCTTATGGATAAAATCAAGATTCAATAAGTAGACTAACAAAAATGGTATTAAACTGCATTTGATTATGCAACGTTCAGCCGAAATGTTCTTACTCTGACAAAGATTGACGATGGAACTCAAAAATGTAGTTACATGATAATTCTTAGATACCATAGTAGTCAATGATGCTTCCATGATGTCTTACACCAATCACTCGAGTTTGGTAGTTGTGTTACGGCATTGTATTACATTGTTGGTCAGTGTGCAATGCAGACTGCAGACCGCAGCCTGTAGACTGCAGACTAACCCTAACCTTGACCAAATACTGACTAAAAACTAGCCTTAAACCTACAAATTAGCTCTAACCATAACACTAAACCCGATTTGCTAAAGCTAACCATTGAGCTAATCAATAAGCTAAGACCTAATTCCAGTCAGCAGCCGTCAGTGTAAAAGGCAGGCTGCAGACTACAGACTGGGGTTAAAATGCGGACTGAGGGCAACACACAGACTGCAGGCTGGGGGTAAAATGCAGATTGAAAGTAAAATGCAGACCTTCAGACTTAGAGTAAAATGCAGACTGCAGACTGTAGACTTTTTTAACTGAATTATGTTACCATTTCCATCATTGAGAGCTAACCATAAACAAGCTAACAGGAGCATTAATTAGGCTAACCTGAGTGACATTCAGGCTAGCCAAAGTGATATTCAGGCCAACTGGAGTGCAGACTTTCTCTGCAATTAGCTTGAATAATCCTGTTTATGGTCAATACTCGAAAATGAAAATAACACAATGTTGACTAAAAAGTCTGTAGTCTGTAGTCTAGACATAGAGACAGACATAGACATAGTTTATCTAACTTAGACAACACACTTAGCTAAGGTAACAGTGCATTCAATAGACTTGATAAGCAGAGTCTACAGGACGCACCAGCTAGTTTACAGTTGCGCCAAGAAAACAAAATAACAAAGTAAAAATGTATGTACAATTGGTTATACCCCTGGTATAACAAATCTACATTTTACCACTGGTATGCAGCCTGCAGTTTACCCTCACTCTCCATTTAACCAACGGTATGCAGTCTGCAGTCTGCAGTCTGCGTTTTACACTGACCGAGTAGGCCTTGTGCAGTCTAGACTGCAAACAGAAATTTGCTTTTAACTTAGCGGTTAGCGCTAGCTTAGCATACAGTTTTCAGAGATAGGGTTCTTTTCGGGGTTAGTATTAGGGTTAAAGCTGATTTACAGAGTTATCATTAGCTTTTAGTTAGTACAGTAGTTACAATGATTTAGTAAGCTTGTGAGGTTAAGGTAAGACTTTTTAAAGTAAGCTTAAATAAACAAAAATGACAAAACGTACAATAAAATAATGTGTAAAAAGTATTTTAAGAGCTAAACGTTCATAATCCTTTAGTCAACGATCAGTACCTTAGAAAATATGGCCTCCAGATCAGCTTGAAAAGCCGCAGCGAAATGAGCGCCGAAAGCCGCCATCTTGACTTGGCTCTTGAAATGGACCATGGGATGCAGGCTCGGTTACACAGCACAAACATGGCGGACGCAAAGAAGGTCTGCAGCAGCATCGGATTCACTTGTTTTGCCGCCTTCTTGTTTCGAATTTGCCTGATTGCGTATGGAGAATGGCAAGATAAAAACATGGTGGTTAAGTACACAGACATCGATTACCACGTCTTCACGGACGCAGCTCGTCATGTCGTGGAAGGCAACTCGCCATACTTGAGACCGACCTATCGCTATACACCACTGTTATCTATTCTCCTAACACCGAACATCACACTGCACATGTGTTTTGGAAAAGTACTGTTTGTAATCTTCGATGTGATTGCCGGATATTTATTGTATAAGATCGCTGGTGTGCAAGGACGTTCTGATCGAATTGCTGTTCTGACTTCATGGTTATGGCTGTTTAACCCGCTTCCCTTGACAGTCTCTACTCGTGGAAATGCAGAATCCATCATGGCAGTGTTGGTCCTCGCAAGTATTTATTTCGCTCTCGTCAAACACGTCTCGGTGTCTGCTATTTTCTTCGCCTTGTCTGTACATTTTAAAATCTTTCCCATTATTTATGGCTTACCACTTGTTCTGCTGGTGGGTGATTATGCTTATAACTCCAAGAAGCCAGATGTAGGCGTAACTGAATATTATCATACGGAAACTGGCTACATTCATCGAGCTTTTAAGTTCATCTTACATTCACAAAGGGTTAAGTTTGCCGTAATTGCAGCAGTGACTTTTTTAGGGTTGACTGGACTGCTATATGCAAGGTACATGTAAATGAACAGAAACTGCAGAGCACAAGTCCCCCTTTCTACATTGCACCTCTATATATTCTGTAGCCTGCATTGCAAGGTGTAAATAAGGGAGGGATAAGGGAGGTGAAACCCCCCCCCCTCCTTCCACCCCCTCCTTCTACCCCCCTCCTTCCACCCCCCACCCCCTGCTTCCATGCCCACTCTCCCTCCCTGTCTCCCCAGTATTTCCTTCTACACATCTAGGCTACATAATTATTGCAACAGCATGGCTTATCAGCTCATCAAAGCTTAAAACCCCCAAAAAGTTGTAATTTCATATCATGATATTTCACAAAGTGTATTGAAGAACAAAAGCATCTACCCTGGACTCAGGCATTTACTTTCTTTTTTCTACTGAAATGAAAAACTTGTTGTGGTGGTCAATCACTTGTCACTTCATGACTCATTTGTGGCAATTACAGGGTCATTGTTATCACTTCTCAGCTCAATTTGACTGAGAAAAAATGGAGAAACCCTCTGAAACTTGCACAGAAAAAAATGTTTAAAAAAATCAATCAAAAGGTGTATGTTTTTATTAATAGTTTGTCTGTTGTTTGGTAGTGAAAGCAAGGTAGCTGGTTCAGGTTCCCTCTGGAAAGAAAAGGGTAAATGTTACAGCTTTACACCCTGAGGGTTCTCCCGTACACCCAGTTCATAACGGGTCACCAAATGGGTGACCCGGCGAACCGTCATGGAGAGTCAACCCTTTTGTGACTTGTTATGGATCAGGTGTATAAAAAACTATATGACATGAATGAATGCCCTCTGTTGACTATGGGGCAAGTGCATAACAATTATTTTTGTTTACCTCTGCCTTTTGCTGTTCTGCCTTTTGCTGTTCCAATAAATATCTATAAATTTAAACACCCTTGACAGTTTTTTTTTCTATTTTTCTCTGTATTTTGTACAGATATGGTTTTGAATTCCTTGAGCACACTTACCTATATCACGTGACAAGGCGAGATGTGAAGCATAATTTTTCAGTGTATTTCTACATGATGTACTTGGTGGAAGGCTCTAGATGGGCGTCAGTCCTTGGTCTGGCTTCTTTCGTTCCTCAACTTATTCTGACAGTCACATTTGGTACGGTGTACTATCGTGACCTTCCCTTTTGCTGCTTTGTACAAACATTTGCCTTTGTCACCTTTAACAAAGTCTGCACATCACAGGTAATGGTACAAATTTAATTCCTTTCAGTCTCAAGCTAAAAATGTTAACTATGCTTATTGGTTGTCATAAATTCATTTTAATGTTACATCTGAGAATTTGATTTTGCATCATGTTGAATCTCATCATTTTCTCATTTGACAATGTTTAGTTCCAGAAAATATCCATACCTCCCCCACAGAAGGGGTTTTTCCAAGACCCCTCCCCCCCACCACCATGACCCCTGTGGAAATTTCAATTAAGCTTGATATATTTCTTTAAATGTGTTGGTCTTAGAGAACCCCCCCCCCCCCCCCCCCCC